ATGAAACACTGAGCAGAGTTCTATCTAGGGTATTTGAGGGGTGGAAGATCCCCCCCCCCCCACACCCCCACCAAAAACAAACATATTGTTATCATTTCAGTATATAAGTAACTATATTGGAAAAATGATCCAGACGTGTCGAGGTCGGTGCACACACTATAACATTTCTCAAAATTCTCTCAAAGTGCACCACATTGCATCTCAGCGCATATTCTTTTAAAACAAATTTCGGGGGGCCATGACAGCGGGCCCCCCAGGAAGCTCGTGGCCTTTGGCCACTCGGGACTTTTCCCCCAAACGATAAATCCTAGATAGAACCCTGCTGAGTGTTTATGACAATACCTTCGGTTGATAGGTAGGCTGCCATGCTACAGATAGAGTCATAGCACTTCCCAACCTGTTCTCTGTATGTGTTCACGCCCCCTCCCCCCTCCCTCTAGATTACAATTAGTTTACTCCTTAGCATTTTCGGGCGGGGTTTGGCTGTAATTTATTGTGAAAATTTTAATAATTAACCGTTGTCGTTGTTAGGGTCGAAATGCATTGGTTTTACGTCACTAAGCTTTGTGGTTGACTTAAGATAACGCGCACACGAAACACGCGACGCGCGGGAAAGATACATGCTAAAAAATCATGTTTAGTTTTGGTCTAGCTTGCGATGGTTACGAGAGTGGCGCGAAATTTTTAAGCTCGTCATACATGGTATCGATGTCAAACAAAATCACTTGCAAAAGGGCCACTGAAATGAAGTACCAACTTGAGACTGGGCCGTCGATGTTGTGTTAAAGTGCATCATGGGACCGTTTTGGGGTACGAATTTTGACCCCGTTTCCTACACTGCCTCCTCGAAACAGTCCCATAGTGCAATGGGACGCAACAACGGCCCAGTCCCACGCGCAACCTTTAAAGACAGAATATAGGAAAGAAAAATAGAGAAAAAGGAAGCAGTCAGGCGTAACTTCCATGATGCATTACCAAACCTGCATCTAAGGGAACATTATGATATTTTTTTCGTTTGGCCTACTCGCCAATTAAGAATCGAGAAGGGAACTGGAGCCGAAATGCGTCCCGCAATTGCTTCTGGGATCGTTACTAGGGACGCGCGTCAGCTACAGTCCCAGAAGTCTTTGCGAAAGTTAACTCGGTCCAGTCTCCCTCTCGTTTTTATAGTAACGAATTACTTTTAACACTTACATATTCTGTTAGTCTCGCATGTTCAGCTTTTCCTTCAGTTACTTTCTTCGACATTGTTGCCATATATCGTCCATAATCACTCTTAAACTCGTTTACTTCCTTTGTTACGTTGTCACGTTTACTCTGCAAGGTTTGCCTACAGAAAAAGAAATACCGACATCTTATTTTCCACAGATTTGCGTTAAGATGAAGAGCTACTGTACATGAGGATATAGGGCACTCAGCAAGTATACCTCTATTGAAGGGGGGGGGCTTATCATTTCAAAGGGGGGGGGGCTTAATAGAGACGGGAGGCTTATTTAATTTAGCAAAGAAGACAGTATCAGTTCTCCATAAACAACTAGAATACAAAGTAGGAAAGTTCAAGTACAAGAAGTTGGAGGTCATGCAGCCGAGGATCAAAAATAAATTCGATCTTCCAGTTGGTGAATAAACCATCCCGGATCAGCCCACACGAATTTTTACGGTCGTGATTGATTTATACAGTCTATCATTTATTACTTAAGGATAACAAGACGTGCCCGAGGAGGGGAGGGCTTATTAGAGAGGGGCGGCTTATTTTAAGCAATACTCACCTGTCCTTTCTTTCAGACGACAAAGATGTTTTAGAAGCCTCGATTTCTTTAGTGAACACATCCACAGTTGCCCTGAAAAAAAGACCAATATAGGGAACGATAACACACAAATTATAAGATTGTGTTTTCTCTTTGACGTTTTGATAATCTATCCTAAAGAAATACTACGCCCCCACCGACGTATCTCTCTAGTGCATGAATGTTTTGTAAATGAATTCCAAAAATCCCATCACCAGCCTGCGGAAACAGCCGGATCAGGCTCCTCGCTCCTCGCCGCTGGGGAAGTTTCGCCTGTACAAATTCCGCCCCTGGCGAAATGTTTCGCCTGCACAAATTCCCCCTGGCGAGAGGTCCCTAGCGGCGTGGAGTAAAGAGAGACGGCTGTCTACGCAGGCTATCCCATCGCCAGCAAAACTGAATACTATTTCCCAATCCCGTTACTAGACCCACGGGTTTAAAATGAGACCTCAAACTCAATACAAGCTGAGTGTGTTTATTCAATTTTTTGCTAGCGCGGGGCGTGCGCGGAGCGCCAGACACGCGCGAGGAGGTAAGCGCAAAACAGGATCCTTTCTTTCGTCGCGCGCGTCTCGAGCTCAACTCTCATTCCCGCTTGCCTTAAGTGTGCCTTCAATCGCCTGAAAACGCGAAAAAGTAACGCTTGTTCTGCAGGCTTCGTAAACCTATAAGTAAAAATAAACACTTACGAAAGTGCAAGCGGCTGACTAGCTAGGAAGCAGTGAGCGCTAGGCAATTTTGTAACATTCACTTCTAATGGTATTGGTTAGTCTAAGGAACATGCTATTCGACCAGTAAAATAAACGTTTTTATCTTTTACCTGTGGATTTCCTCTAGCTGCCCCATCTCGTCTTCCATTTCCATGTTTTCAGATCTTATTCGGGCGCACTCTTCATTCTGACGATGTAAAGATTCCTTTGCTCTCTTAAGTCTAAAGATTTAAGGCAGGAGAGGCATGCATTGAATTCAGACAGTTGGAAATGATATGAAAACGCTGTAACTCGTTTAATTCACATCATTCACTAGCCTAAGAAAACAGTCCACATTTCACGACGACAAGACTGGTTTCCTAGCCTCCCACGCAGGCGCACGAGTTCGTGCCCCGCGTGACGAACCCCTAAGAACGTCTTCGTGGGAGGCTGCTAGTTTCCACGAGAAATGACGTCCGAGGAACAAGCGCAGAAATTCCATACTGATGACGTGTCACTAGTGAAAAGTCGGCTATATCTCTGGCAAATCATTCATGCACGGCCCTTGACTCCCAACCCAAGACCGAAGTTAAACTCCTCCCTGCAACAAGGTTGACACATTTGAGTTGCCAAACCTGAAAAAAGAAATCCAAGTGCTCCCAGCAGGATAGCCTATGCACAGACTCCCCCCTCCCCTCCCCTCAGGAAAATCGGATAAATCTCTATGACCTTCTGACGACTGGTGGGAGCCAAGGCCATATTAACTTTGACCAAAAACAAGTGGTCTTAGTTTAATGCGCAGCTGTGGAAAAATCTTAACTACATTTTCTAATAAAACATACGCCTACCCCCTCCCACCGCCCCAATTCAAAGACTTCCTTGCAATTTTTGAATATGATTCTAAAATCCTTGCAGCCTCAATAAAGTTCCAATTTTATGAAAAATGGGTTGTCTGAATAACCCTTTAAACTCAAAGAGTGACCAACATCAGTATTCTTATATCAATACATAATCAATAGAAAAAGTTACGACAGTTTATAAAATGATCAAGAAAGGGAAATGCTTTAGTCTTTTAACAAAGGACTAACTTCCTAAAAGCCCTAATTAGTGGGGTGGTGCTTACATTCTTTCATGTTGTCGAACAACCCCAGCATCTTGTTCCTGAAGTTCAATAGCAGTCTCCAGATCTAGAAATAAAAATAAGAAAATAAGGAGATAACCTTAATCAGAGAATGTCCAAAGCAAACAAACCCAGATCAATAAACAAACAAACAAACAAAACCAGAGGGCAAGGAAACTCGATGAAAAGCAATATACACAGTCTGGGCCCCATGCAGTCACTGGTTTATTCTACAGAACTCAGACTAGGGATTTCAAATACAGTTGAAGCTCTCGTAAGCGACCTCCTCGGAAATTCAAGAAAGNAGTTGCCAAACCTGAAAAAAGAAATCCAAGTGCTCCCAGCAGGATAGCCTATGCACAGACTCCCCCCTCCCCTCCCCTCAGGAAAATCGGATAAATCTCTATGACCTTCTGACGACTGGTGGGAGCCAAGGCCATATTAACTTTGACCAAAAACAAGTGGTCTTAGTTTAATGCGCAGCTGTGGAAAAATCTTAACTACATTTTCTAATAAAACATACGCCTACCCCCTCCCACCGCCCCAATTCAAAGACTTCCTTGCAATTTTTGAATATGATTCTAAAATCCTTGCAGCCTCAATAAAGTTCCAATTTTATGAAAAATGGGTTGTCTGAATAACCCTTTAAACTCAAAGAGTGACCAACATCAGTATTCTTATATCAATACATAATCAATAGAAAAAGTTACGACAGTTTATAAAATGATCAAGAAAGGGAAATGCTTTAGTCTTTTAACAAAGGACTAACTTCCTAAAAGCCCTAATTAGTGGGGTGGTGCTTACATTCTTTCATGTTGTCGAACAACCCCAGCATCTTGTTCCTGAAGTTCAATAGCAGTCTCCAGATCTAGAAATAAAAATAAGAAAATAAGGAGATAACCTTAATCAGAGAATGTCCAAAGCAAACAAACCCAGATCAATAAACAAACAAACAAACAAAACCAGAGGGCAAGGAAACTCGATGAAAAGCAATATACACAGTCTGGGCCCCATGCAGTCACTGGTTTATTCTACAGAACTCAGACTAGGGATTTCAAATACAGTTGAAGCTCTCGTAAGCGACCTCCTCGGAAATTCAAGAAAGCGGTTGAAACCAGAGCTGGTCGCTTACAAGAGTGAGCTCTTGTATGTAAGGGACCGTATCTTGAAATGATAGAGGGTGGTCGCTTATGAAAGCTTTAGAAACCATAAACACACTCGTAATGTGAGCTTGGGACGCCTGAGCAGAAACTAATTAATAATTTATAATGGAAAAACAAAAGAACTTTGACAATGTATAACGAGTGTCTTTATATCTGATATAGACAAGGCTAAACTTTACGTCCAATTTTGTAGACAAAAAATAACCCCAAGTCCAAATGTTAGTGCAAGAATGAGTTGAATGGTTGCTTACAAGAGCTTACAAACAAAGGAAAAGTCCAGTTGGGTAATCCCAAAAGAGGTCGCGATCACTTACGGGAGCTTTTCATCACAAAGCTTAAGTCATCGTTCAAACAGGGGTTTCATAAAGGTGGCCGTAAATAGAGCTGGTCACTGATGAGAGTTGTCGCAAGGATAGCTTTGATTGTACGCTCTTGATGAAGATATGGACATGAGGTCAAGTTGGCTGGATATTAGCCGAGTACTTTTTTTCGTTTTTATCGACCGAGAAAAAGTCAAGGTCAACAAAAACACAAATAGGAGAAGCCAATATCCAGCGATGTGGGAAATCTCTAGCACGCAAGATAGACCCCGGGTAGGGGAGGTACTTCCTTGTAATCGGCTTACGGGGATGCGCCACTGGATGGGGTCGCACTTTCGAGACTGGATTGACTACAATGGGGCTGTATTTTCATTAGAGTTACCAGAATGGGATCGCACATTTTCGGGATTAAGGGGGATCAGAAAATTCAGGTAGGTAGGGATTTAAAAATGGGAAGATCTTTACTTCATTTAACTTAACCAATGTGAAAAAACAAATCAGGATGACCTAGTTAAAAGGCTTTATAAGTTAGATGCAAAAAAAGAAAGTTACAAGGTTGGGATCGTGAAAATGACATTTTCCCAAAAGTGACTAAGATGGGGTCTATATTTGGCCACAGGATAGACTAAGATGGGGTAGAGGTTCTGAGAGGCCAGCAGCACATACCCAGCACATTCCCCCCGGGGAAGATAACCCTTTTTGCCCACTTGAGTAGCCAATCAGAACAAAAGATTCGCTTCATCTTGCCCGCTTGCAGACTCAGCCATATATTTCTAACTAACTGTTGCTAGGTGTAACAGGAAGTAAGGAGTTGTATCCTGAAGTCCAATTGCTTTTCCCTAATGGACCAATAGGACATTATAATCTTTATTAAAAGACAATGTAAACCTTTTTGCAGGGATTTCTTTTCAAAACTTAGCTGTTTTTCTTGTTCTTCTGCTTCTTTCAGATTTGTCTGGAGCTAGTGAAAAAAGACAGTCTCATTCCATTTTTGTTAAAAAAGGGAAAGCATACACTGTGTGTTACATACATAAATAGTTTATATATGTTACAGGTCAAATTTGATTTCAGGTTAATTTTCATTTAACCTAGGTTGATTCTCAATTTTTAATGTCTCCTAGCCCTAAAAGATAAAGAAAATTAAGAATTAACCAAGGTTAAAAATTTTTAACCTGAAATCAAATTTGAATTGTAACATATACATCATTAACATGAATCATTGAAAATTATATTGAATGTTAATTATTTTATCATTTTATTTCGTAGCTTACATGTCAGTGCACAAATAGTTAATCCTTTTAATGATCCAGTTATTTTCTGCAGCCTTCAAACCATTTCATGATCATACCATACAATGGTCACTGGTCAGTAATGGTGATGACCGCATCTTTTGAAGCGACGTAGTGTTGTGTTAAACGGTTATAATTAGTTTTACTATACTGTGTCCTTCTCCATTCTTAATTTTCTTGCTAACCTTACATACATGTAGTTTTTTTCTGTCTAAACACCTTCTATTAATAATTAATATTGTACAAAATATCGAGCACATAACACAATCAGTTTTTGTAATACTTGTCCACTGGATAGTGATTTGTCCAATGGATAGTGCTATCCAACTTTTGAAAAACTGGAGCCTGATGTATTTTTTTTATATAAAGAATGGAGTAAATAAAAATACAAATACCATTTCTAGCTGTGCCAACAGCGCCCGCTTTTTGGCTTCCAATCCCTCAGTCATTTCATTGTGCTCCTTGACAATTTTCATCCTATAATGATGAAATTCAAAAGAGATTTCCTTGTTTAAAATTCATAACAGATCACACACTTCTTGACGAACCTCAAACTTCTGAAAACTTTGCACTTTGCATCTATATAACTCAACAAATACATGACCAAAAAGTTTAAGTTCATGATGTGTGCAACCTCAAAACACATGTTTCACGTGTGACTTAGGCCAAGCGATCCCTTATGGTAATGTGTTACTCTAGAAAATATCCATGCATAATCCCCCCCCCCCCCCCCCCCCCCTCCTCGTTTTGCTGCTACCCCCCCCCCCCCCCCCCCCCACCCCCCCCCCAACAAAAAAACACCTTTTTATATTTCTTCTTTCTTCCCTCCTCCCCCCCCCACTCCTCTTTATTTTCCCCCCTTTCGTTTTTGTTCGGGGTGGGTTCGTGGCGAGCTGCGGGAGGTAAACTTCCAAAAACTTTTACTTTCTATCCTAATAAACCAACAAAACACAACCCAAAAAGGTTAAATGCCTGATGGTGTCCCACCTAAAAACCATTTTTTTCCGTTGTACTTAGGCCAAGCCTCCCCTTTTGGAAAGTGTTTCCCTTGAAAAAAACCCATCAAAAACCCCCCCCCCCCCCATGCAGTTTTACTGGTTTGACACGTCACTCCCCTCCATGGCACTCTACATCTTCCAGTAAAATATAGCCCTTTTTAAAATTTGCCCTTTGACACCCTCCTCCCCTGGAAAATTATTATGACTCTCCATGGTGTAGGTTTGGATGGAACCGTGTGAAGCAACTGTGAAAGAGGTTTCATTTGAATTGCCACACCACAGGATTTCATCCAGACTCAAAAATTAGTACTTCCTAAAGTTCAAAGCTCCACCATTTCCACTGGGAGCTTTATGTTTAAGATCCCCCCAGTTTTGCGTGGTGTTCTTATTCATGTTTTAGCACTAGATTCATTAGTGAATAATGTTTCTTTGAGTAAGCGTTAAGCTATGTGCAAACTGACACAACAACTCCCAATACTGTTGGGCTAACAATGTGGGTAGTGGTGTGAAAACAGATGCAATAAATAACTCCCAACAATGTTGAAACCTGCAGTGCATTGTGGGAATGATACAACCCATGAGACTTTGGAGATCATGTGTAATGTGCAGGCATGGCACCAACAATGTTGCAAGAGCTGTGCAAATGGATCCAACATTGTTGTACTACGCTTCAGCGATCACAGAACAAAAGAAATGTTGGGAGTTGTTGGCTCAAAAGTTTGACCAGTTTCAAACTTTGCGCAACAACATGCAACAAAATGTGCAAACAGACAGAACATGTAACATTCAATAATGTTGGGAGTTGTTGGTCAACAATGTTGCATGCGTTTGCACACATAGGGCTTTACATGTGGATACAAAAGTTTGACAACTCACCCTTCTTGTGTTAAATTGGAATTATCTTTGATCTCCTTCAGAAGTTGTCTGTTCAGTTGAACTTCTTGAGCTTCCAGTCTATTACGAGAAGTTTCAAACTTTCTTATAACCTAGAAATAAACAGAAACACTGAGAATACTTTATTCTGTCCCAACCGATGTCCCAAATAGCCCATGTCAGTAAAATTGATCAAACAAAAACATTTCACTTGAATGTATACTACAGAGGATTATTTTAAAACTTACTGGCACATAAAAGTCACAATTACATAACACTAGAACAAAACTGTTAGTGGCATTCTTTTGAGTATGACAATGTTAACCTTTTTAATTTATAAACATTGTTAAGTAATGATAAGTGTCACAACTCTTCACAGACATTAAAAATACATTTTAATTTAAGCAAATACATATACCATTACCTGACTAATGTAAATAGTAAGTCTTAAAGGTTGTACGTGCCAGTACCTTTCTCTTTGAGTCCAAAATTGATTCACTGTCAACCAACTCTTCTTGTAATTTATCAATCTCCCTGCAGGAAAGAAACACAACTCAACTGTAGAGTTTTACAAGGATGTTTTGGGCTACAAGTGTTGGGCACATTATTTAGAAATTTATATAACCAATAAGCATGCACTTAAACTAGAATTTGGAGAAGAAAAACAATATATTATATTTCTCTACATCTTTCTACTTCAAAGTTATCTGAGTGTCATCTGATAATGACTGCAGTCTACCAAGTTTGAGAGGTTAGTGGCTGCAGGTGAGGAATGAATAGTACATAACACAACTTAAAATCCCACCTTCCACTTTCCCTGCACCCAAGCACCAACAACAACAACAATAATAATAATAATAATAATAATAATAATAATAATAATAATAATGATAATAATAAATAATCTTTATAGAGGAGGCTCCCATCATATTAAGTGGTTTTCAGGGAAGTCCACTGACTAAGATTAAATAATATTAAAACTACTAATTACAATCAAATATAAAATGCTAAAGGTGAAAAAGTTTAAACCCTAAAAAGGCTAAGTGAAAAATATTACAGTCAGACTAAAAGATTTAACTATCATGAAAATACAAAGGCTAACGACTTTCAGACTAAAATGAAAATGTTACAAACTAAAATATTTGTCTCTTAAGAACTTTTTCAGTTCTGCTTAAAACTTTTACAAGGCATGGGTTTCCACTCTCACCATCAAGATGGTGGCATTAAACCTTGACTATCTACCTCCAGTATAAAATGTAATTGACATAAGCTGATCAGACAAATGAGACTCAAATGTTAAGACCAACTTAAGTTCTGTTGAACAGAAAAAAAAGTCACAGGCTACGCAGATCACTAGATGCACCAATTGAGGACTTTTGCAGGCTCAATACAATTACAGTCAACTCCCTTGGGACTTTGGTCAGCATCCAATCACTTGGTAGTTTCTTAATGTTTGGTTCATGCTATTCTGCATTGTTCTGTTAATGAGCCTACTTATGGTAAGTAAATGTACACTGACAGTAAATAATTTTTATAACAATGTTAGTAAATACATTAAAAAATATCAAAGCAGAAATACCCTGTAATCCCCCAGCAAATTTTCCTTTTCCTTTTAAATTTGATCTATATATGTGTAATAATAATTATCTAGAGGTAATTACTTTCTCTTTTCTATGTTTGTCTTCCTCTGCTCCTCAGCTTTTTTCTGGGTATCAGCCTAAAAAAAAAAACAAAATATTTCTGTACACTGAAGCTGAGAAATCTAAACTAGAATTTAATGTTGTTAACACTTACATTCGTGCGTGTGGGCATCTATCATTATGCATTGTTGTTGCTCAATTTTTTTTGCCATTGAAATTTTCATACTAGTCCATTGTTTGTTTTCATTTGTCTCAGATTATGGCAAAATGTATCATAAATAAAAATATGATTAGACTGGTTTGACAAACTTGAAACCATGTACAACAACTTGGACAAAATGTCTCAATAAAGATAGTGGCATTAAGGGTTTTGGAGTCAGGTAAATTTCGGCGGGCTTAGTAAAAGGGGGACAGCATTTTGACACAGGCTAAATAAGGTCTTTATCTATGGGTGGAAGGACGGGTCTTCTAAGGGATGGCCATGAACTTTATACAAGTCATGTAATCACCATGGCTCACAACATAAATCATACATACAAGTATACATGAAACATGGTCCTGACAAATTCTTACCACAGACTGTTTCAGCTTCTCTTTCTCCAACCGTGCTTCCTCTCGTTCATGAACCAAATCTTCTTTCAGTTGAACAATAGAGTCTTCCAGCTCAATTATCTGTGTTGATGAAATTTGAAGTTCATTCTTTCATCCAATTTTATGAGTCTTTAAAATTAAGGAAGAAAGTCCTACAGTAATTTTTATTACTGCTGAGTTTGGATGTCCATTCAAGACAATATTATTTTATTTATTTATTCATTGGAAATAAGACGAAAGATCCAGTCATAGCATGGTGGTATAAAAGTAGGCACCACAAGCTACTTTTCAGTTAATTCTCATACAAAAACTGACTGAAAAAAAACACAATTTAAAATGATACTTTTTGTTTTTAAATCATGATTATTTTTCAGTCCTATAATCATCTTACCCGTTTGTACGTCTCTCTGAGTTTGTCACGAGTCTCATTAAGAGTTATTTGCTTGCTGGATAGATAAGAAAAAAGATGAAATAAGGAATAAATGTCAAGTAAAAATTCTTTCCCAAGAGTGGATCAGCACCATTCCAAAGCTTCAAAAAATATGGGGTGTGATTTGATGCATGAGATTACAAGCTTTCTACTCTTTTTCATCTTTCCAGCTGATTTGGATATAACATGTTGCGGGTATACCATACTCATCCCAATTGTAACTTTAAATTAATTTATTTGTTAAATGTTCATGCACAAGATTTCCAGCCAGATGGTTAATGCTGGTAAGCACCCATAGTCATCATTAATAGGAGGGTACTATATTGCATTGAAAGCTGACAAAGGCTAGAGAGGACATGCATACAGTGTACAGTAGTACAAGAAGTCAGATACAGGAGAAAATGCTTCACAGTGAAGTAAGTAAAAGTGTAGTAATAGAGAATTGTTTGTTAGTACTGGTAGTGATGATGTGTTAGGTGGGTTGATTAAGGGTTTTCATGGAGGATAAGTGAAGTGATTCTTGTAAAGTGCAGGTGTAAGAGTAATGAGACAGTATAACAGGTCTTCCCCTCCCCCCCCCCCCCCCCTCATATAAAACAAAGTGGGGATAGTTTTTTTTTTTTTTTTCCCCCTCTGCCGCAAAAGTTAGTATGTGGGGGGGGGGGTTTTTCAACGAAACAAAACATCTTTAAAACTATTCACATAATTTNCAAGCTCCTACTCTCCTGTCACTAAGAGACTCCAGGCCGGCCAAGACCAAGGCTTCCGCATAGTCTACCCGGCCAAATATTATTTTGAGGGCTTTCCACTGTACAGACTCAATTAACTCATCAAGATATAAAGGGATCGCAGCCCAAACTGGCGAGGCGTACTCAACAATGGATCTAACAATACTACAGTAGACTAACACGAGATCGTTAGTGCCCAGTCCAACTCTCTTGAGGGTCCGCAGCACAAACAATCGCTTAGTAGCTTTTTTATGGATACTGTCACAGTGTTCATTCCAAGAGAGGTCATTAGAGATAATAACCCCTAAGAGTTTGTAACTAGATACTCTATCAATGAATGTGAGTGAGTCAATGAATGTGAGTGAGTGAACAATGGTAATGATCACTTAAACTGTGAAACTTGCAACACGTTTGCAGCTACCCTAGAAAACAAGACCCCTTCTAAGCTGATATCAAAATATCAGGCTACAATCTTGGACAAAATAAATGGCAAACCTAGACCTCCCCTCTCCCCCAAATAAAAGATGGGAAATGATTTTTGGAGGGGGGGTGGGGGTGTGCAGGGGGGGGTGGATGGGGGTTTGCTGTCCAAGATTGTAAGTCCAGCCTCAAGAAGACATTGGATCTTAATGTATGAAGGCAAGTTGATAAAACAAGACACTGGCCTTAAAAATCAGACGAAAACTGTTAAGAACCTGCATGGGTGACTGTGAATCTTTTTTCTTGCTCAGTGGATTTTGAACATTTATATTGTAAACCCCTTACCTTGCCTTGTCAGCCATCTTTTGATTGAGAAGCGCAATGATTTCATCATGCCCTGTTTGCATATCATTCCGTTCAGGCCTAAAAAGAAAATTCCGCAACACGGATATATCAAACTGATTTAATACATAAATTTTGTCTGATTTCCACACTAGCACTTTTTATCAAGTTTTGTGATGACACCTGTGTTTTTATTTCTGAACATCTGTTGTCATTTTATAGTTTGGTAACTCTCCCAACCAACCCTCACTTACAGACACTTTTTACAAAGTGCACATGACTAATAGGTCAAATTAAGGTTAAACCTTTTTACCTGGATTGATTCTCGATTTAATACCTTTCTCTCCTAGCCCAAACTATTCAGAAATTAGGGCAAAGGGATAAAGGAAATTGACAATCAGTTGACCTTCAAATGAAGGCTAAAAAATTTTGACTTGAATTAAATTTAAAAATTACATCTCACTGAAAAGAAGAGTCCCACTGACCTCTCTTTTAGAGAGCAAGTTGACCCTGTATTTTTTATTGCAACATACAGTTACTAGTAACTTACTCCAGTTTTGCATTTTCTTTTGCAAGGTCTTGATGCCTTTCCTCCAAGGACTTAATGTTCTTGATGATTGTGTTCAGATGTGTCTAAAACACCCCAGCAACAAAAATAATGGTTAATCTAATTTCTCTTTGCTGTGCAATCCCAAGTTGGGATTTTGAAGGAATTTTTAGTCCTTAATTAATACAAGGTTTATTCTAGAAATTGGCTAATGAGGGTCAAATGGGTCCCCTTCTGTAATTTTAGGGGGCCCTTTTCCCTAAAGGGGGTCCAAGAAAGGGGGTCCCCCAAAAGGTATTGGTGCAGACTGTTCCGTGAGAAAACGAACATTTATTGACTCTTTGCCGCCATTTTGGAACATTCTGGGCAACTGAAAAAGCCTGGGTTCGAAATACAACAGAATCCCGGATGTTTGTCTGGTGAAATAAGGACTCAAACGAAGGAGAGAAAGGCAACTGAGAGAGTACGAGGCTATAAAAGTTCAAAGTAAGTTTATAGAGCAGCCATCAAATCAGTGTTGTTGTCAGTGATGTTTTCGAATTCTTTATTTCAAAAAAATAGTACTTATCCTTGGGTCCATTTTTGGTGCTCCATTTGACGCACAAACGCAAATCTTATGTGGCATTTTTTTCCAAATTGTGGAAATCCTGCAAGGACGTGCGCTAGAATAAACCCTGATAATATTTAAACAAGCAGTTGGTTTGGTTCCTACGAGAAAACAATAGGCCTTTTGTAATAATTGGTAACAAGATCAAATTTCCGTAAATGACGAGATTTAAAAAAGCTTAATTTACAAGTCATGTCTCCTGGAAAAATTCAACTTCTTTTTAATGTACTTACTTTTAATCTCTTGATTTCTGCTTCATTTGATTGTCTTGCTGAGTAAACAGCAGCTAAAGAGTAATCATAACAAAGCCTTTGAGATTTGTGTTCGTAAGATTTTTTCTTTTCAGGCAAATACCTCATCAATAATTTTCCCATGTTAGTTCATTGTTCCCAATCAAGGTTTTCCAGCATTCAATATCTAAAAAATTGTCCTGACCATCTGTGGGAGGCTTGATCTTTGGAACCAATGCTTTAGTAAAGACAGAAGTAACTGCCCAGTTAAAACCTTCTAAAAAAGACTATACTAGCTCCATTTTACTGCATAAATATATTCTCCTTGATGGTCACCCATAAGGCTGCCATAACTAAAGAATATTTTGCATTCCACTTAGTTCCCAGAATAAGGCATGAATAAGCACTAGAAAGAAATAAAAATAAATTATACTCATCAACGGTGTACCTTGTATTTCATTCTTGATATCACTTGGGAAATACTGCAACTTGTAGCGTAGAACACTTGCTGTAATGGTTTCTGTCTCCAGCAACTCATGCAATTTTAGTCTCTCTGTTTCCTGAAACAATCAAGATTTTTAGCCAAAAAAATAACATCCCAGGTTTCCCCTCACTGGGTCAAAATGAAAGGATAAAATGGTTTTAATTTGGGTTGATTCTCAATTTCCCTTATCTTCTAGCCCGTTCATGTATAATCAGGGTTAAGAAACAAAGCAAATTCAGAATTGATCTAGGTTGAAACCATATTGACTTAAACTTCATTTTGAACTACAACATACTATATTGTTTTGAATATAGACACTTAAACTTCCTGCAACTTGGAAAAAGCCACTGTTATCCTTTGTGAAAACTGAGCTCAGACAGTTGTCATAGCCATATTTTCAGCCTTGTTTGTCTGTCAAAGATGCATTGGTGAACCCCTCTAAACTGTAGAACTGAAGGTGATTGCATGGGTCTTCCTCATTCCGAGTTGTCTCTTAAGATTTATATGTCGTTTCGGAAGACAAGCACGAGAAGTCAATAAAGATAATGGGAAGAAAGCTGAAGGCCTCTTCCTTCTAATTCTCCCCCTCCCCTTCACCCCTCATGCATGGATCCAGCTGGTGCATAGGGTCAGTTTTACAGATGAAGGGCAAGCTGTACCTAGCATGTACTAGCCCAAAAGTCACTCAAGCTAGTCCCCCCCCCCACCCACCCCCCACCAAAAAAATTTGATGAGCAGGACCAATAATTAATTTATTATTATTAATTTATTAACTTATTATAACACCATTAGCTATTAATAATCATTTGCTTTATTGTTATTCATTGTAATAAAACTGTAATAATAATTATTTGGCTTCATCTGGTTACCTTGAAAAAACAGCTTTAAATTGACATGAATTTTGAATTTCCTGATTAAAGTCCTTTAATCTGTAATTTGAATTCCCCCACAAAAGTCCACTTGTCCCTTGAGCAAATTAAGAAGAGAATTCACTAGAGCAATCCGAACATCCATTAGCCCTGACCTATCAGCTAGCATGACATTCTTTGCATGCTGGCACCTCCTAGGCACTAATCCCTTGAGTAGGGATAAGTGAGAGACAACTGAGGACAAGACTAGGTTAGTCAGCCCAGAGATGTTCAGGAATTTTAGGTATAGTTTCACCGGAGTACCCGCATCCCTGCCCCTTCAACCTAGTTGTGCATGAAACTTCTATCCACTTTGAAAGGTCTGGAATGGTATTTTTTTTACAGAATTTGGAAGTAAAAACAATTAAAAATCTTGAAACAAGCCAAATCCTTAGGATCCATCTGGAGAAGATGGCATCAACAAAAAATACCATAATCCAGTCTGGTGCTGCTCTGTCACAAGGGAACAACCTGACCCACAGCCTACAAGGAATCTCTCACGACTCAAGGGTAATGTGAAACTAGCTACAGAGCCTGCATGTTCACCATCTACTTTGAACGTACAACTTAACAGCATCACTGCTTTACTCCATGCAGTTTACCAAAAGAGATGCTTTTCCCTAAATTTGCTAAACACTCCCCGATCCCCTCTATTCAGTGTTGAGATATAACAGAACAACGGGGCCAGGGAAAGAAGAAGAAAAAGAGGTAGAAAGTGGTAGCCTGCCCAATACCTTTAGCTTCAGGACTAGCTATGATCGTAGTTCTACCTATAATTCGAAAACTCTTTAAAGCTTACCAAGTCTTTGAGGGCTTTAATGACAATATCCAAGCCAGAGGTATCCACTGGTTCAACACTGTGTTTGCTTGTCTTGACATTATGCCCTAGGAACATAAATATTTACATCAATCACAAAAAATTAATAGAACTGGAAGACAAATTACTATAACTGCAGAAGAACTGGACAATTAATTTTGGATCTATAGCAGCAATCATTCATTCCATACCAAGTTCCTGCAGTTTCTCAACTGCACTGTTCACCAAAGGTGTTATATCTGTCGACTGAGATCGTCTTTTCAACATTTTGCAGTAAAATCGAAGATCAAAAGTTCGTGAAAGGAGCAAATCTTCTTCTCCACCGACAAGTTTGCTTTCGGAGTTACTAAGCGGGAGAATAGTAACTAGTCAGATAAGCCTAGGGGAGGGGAGGGAGGGTAAAACTAGTAAGGGACTTTCTACAATTACTGCTGGCTAAACTTAAGTTCCAACAATAACTTTTATTCTCTTTTTTAAATAAAAAATTTCAGGGCTTAGAAATGATGAAAATTGGTTAATTAATTGACTTAACAGGACCTTTTCCAAAACTCTGAAAAGTGAGTTAAAACCTTCACCTCTGCTCCCTTGAAAGAAGCTGTTGGCTCCACCATAAAGAGGCAGTTGCCAAGAGCAAAAGCTAAACGGAAGATGTCTGCCAGCGAGAGAGAATTTATCTTTGATGCCGTTATCGGCTATTTAACCTCCCCGATATGGAATTTTCCGGTTCGCACCTTTATAGAACATAATTCTTTAGGTATGCTGCAGTTTCCCCATTCATTTTGGGAATTTTATTCCCTGGGTTTTTGTTGATATTGTTGATTATAAAATTTGGCGAAATGCAGTCATTTTGTATTCTTCGAATCTGTTTATTATGATTTCTTCTTTGAATGCTTTGACAGTTTTTGATCCAGATGGAGAAAATCATGAGGAATATAAAAAAATACATAAATCATACAAGGACATGGTAAGAAAACTTTATTTTTTTGCTCCTACTGTTTGCTCAAGATTTGCTATTTGGAAATAATCTCGAGACTTCAAATATTTTAAGCTTTTTCAAGTGTTTGTCGCTTGTATTTAATTTGCGGAGTCGTTTTGCAGATGTTACAAAACAGAATTCTGTAAATTGCTGCCAGTTAATTTTTCATGATTTTGAAAAGATATAAAAGAGATACTGGTGGGACACTCACTGCAGTATTCCAAACATGAATGTTTAAAATATTGATATGTATCTTATTAGTTTCCGCCCATGAATAAATTCATGTTTTTTTTTGTATTAAACTTTCAGTAGGCAGATCTTCATTGCACTTTGAAGGAGAGGTTTTAATTAATTAAATTCAAAATATGAAATGTACTAGCTATATATCTAAAATCCCAAAATCCCTAATGAGCCAGTCCTTTTCTTTGATGATTGCAAGAGAAAATGATAAAAGAGAGCAAAACACCCATACATGGCTATCTTCCTGCGAAAAAACTTTGAAAATATATTCTTGGTTCTGTGTAATGTTTCAAACTGGATATTTTTAGGATGGCTCCATATTGTTTGGTTAGAATGGCGCATGTAATTTTACACGTTGCACCAAATATTGGTGAACTTTTGCCTTCCAGGGTTTGAGGGCATCTCTCTCTTTCTCCCCTGTTTTGTTTACATTACACGATTTGGGTGGGTTCACCCCCTCCCCACCTACACATACGCAGAGCTGTGCTCTAAGAAACATTGTAGGAAGCCCATTGCTCTGAATCTGTTAAATTCAGGGTGCCCAGTCTGTGAGGAGGCAGGGTGACGGAGTTGTCAGAGTGCTGGAATTATAATCTGGCTCCAGGCTCTGTGTTCAATACCTGCCCTAACTACTAGCTGGATTTGTTCTCGGTAGACACGAGTTCAACTCCTCAGTCACCGTTGTAAATTAGGCAACTGGCATACCACCAGCCAGTTGGGTTTCTTAACTTTGGGGCCCACAATAAAAACTTCTCAGTCGTTTACCAGTAATTGTGTACCCTTATAAAGTCTTTTTTTTTTTTTAATTTCTGATGTAAAAAAAACTGAAGACTTTCTTGCTGGGTAAGAGTAGAATTTAAGGTGCCAGGGGTTGCTGGGTTCTGCTTGTTTCTTAGACTGTTTGAACATAACACAGACATCATTAGATTTTAGCCTTTTTATTCAATGACAACACATGACACATGAATACTCTGGGGTAATTTCCAAAGAAAAGTAGGTGGCGAGTGCCCGTGAAATAGGCGGCAAATTTTGTCAGCCACCGGCTGTTATTGAAAACCCTGGGGCTAACATGTTTTAATGTTAACAAGTTGTCAAATGGGTTAGAGTGGTTTTTGTTTGAGTGTCGTAAAACCAAAACCAAAGTAATTACTCTGACCAATCACATAGGACACAGACAATACATTGAACCAATCAAAACTCGCAGTAATTACATGTGGCTGACGCAAAGCGCGGGAAAATGCATGCTCGTCACAATTGGCTTTGGTTTTACTTCTGATTGGATGAAAAGGTGGCGCGAATCTTTTAAGCCAATCGCATCGTGTAGAAAGTGCAAAACCAATTACTTTTCGACACTCAAATGAAAACCGCTCTAGTAGCATTTGCTGGGACCGAATGAAAGATAGGGTTGTTAGGCCTGCATGGCTGCTGCAGGTGAAAAAGTTTCAGCAACAGGTTACTGGGAGAGCAAGAGTGTCTTTTAAATATTCATCTTGCCCTCACCTTATATGACAAACTTTCAATTTGTTACTTTGGACCTGTACTATGGAAAAGACTACCCAACAAGGTCAAGCAATCACCAGTCTTCAGTCTTTCAAGAACGCTATCAGAAATTTAGATGTTTCTGGTATTTTAGAAAATAACTGTGACTGTTATTAATTTGTTGTGACCTTTGCAGATCCCAATTTTATGATTTTAAGATTTTTAGGATTTTAATATGTATTATTATGAATTATTATGTATTTTTAGATTAGTGTACCCAATTAGCTATCTTATATTAATTTTTATAAAGCTAAATACATTTAACACTTAAATAAAGTTGTTTCGTTATGTTATGTTATATGTCCTGCGCTAGAAATTGGGTTTCCACTGTAAAAATGACATAATTCTGTTATACACTTGTCTTAATGAGGACTGCCTGAACATCCAACTTATTGTTTTGTTGTTTAAGGTGGATAAGTTATTGGCAAGCTTTTTGAAAGATGTTGGAATAACTGCGGAACAGTTTATGAATGCATGTAAAGAAGGAAGTGGAAGTCCACAGTTCAGTAGAATGCATAGGGTAGGTTCATTCATCCAGAATCCCTGGAAAAATCCTGCAGGAATAACTTCTAAAGAACTAAAACACAGGTCATGAATGAAAGTTTTCAAAGAAGGAAGTTTAGTGGAAAGAGTTGCTTCTACACTAATTAATCAGGATTTGTACTATTCTTGGAACTTTTTGGTAAACTCCTGGAATATAAACATTTTTCTTTCAGGGCCTCAGAAAACTTGTTGAAAATTCTCTTTTCTTTGCTATGCACTTTTGTAAAATATTGAAAGTGAACGTTGGATTTTGTGCATGTGGTGGAGGAGGAACATCGAGGGGCTCCTGGTTGTTTTACGCAAGGAAATTATTAATTAATGAATTAAAGCAGCTCTTAAATATACTGGTAGTTATTACCAGTATATAATTTGGCCATAATCTTTTAATGCCAGACAAAACATTTAATCATTTTCATATCTTGAAACCCTTTTAAATTAATGGACTTTCCTGGCTTTGTGCAGGGAACAAACAAGGCACCAACCTGAGGCTTGGATTGACAAAATACAGTGATCAACAAATTCATGTCAGATTTTCCACTATGGCCTCAACCTCGTTCATTTTATTCCGCTCTCTTACTGTGAAACTCACAATGCTGTGAACACAAGAAATATTTCTGGAATGGGAAGAGCCAATCAAGTGTGGGAAAACTAAAGTGCAAGCAGCAACAGTAATAGCTTGGCCACTTGTCCTTATCTTTGTATTGTAACTGGTCATAACATACATGTAATAAACATTCATGGTGTTCACCGTTTTAATATTGAAAGTTTGACAGTAAGGTGGAATGCAGAAAAGTTCTATATTCATGACCTGACCTCCATAATAGAACCAGAATTCTGTGACCCTCCATTTGTTACGTTAGTATTCCAATGTATTTAACATGAATCTTGTGACCACTCATGTATTCAGAAAAATTTTCTAGGCATTCACATGGTTTCCTTCAATCAGGGTTGTCAAAAGTAGCTGGCTGCCAGCAAAAATTGCTGCCTACTTGTTTAGTATTGGCCGGCTACTCTGCTTGGCATTTCTTTACTGGTGGCATTTTTTAAATAAGATATCCCTGGACTGGCCGCTTACTTTGACAACTCAGTCATCTACTTCAAAACTTTCTCACAACACTGTTTCAATTAACATTTCTTCTTTCTTTTGACGTGTATAAAGGATGTCTTTGACCAGCTGTGGGCTGCAGAGGATTATGAGGTGTTTAAACAATTAATGATTCAGAAGAATATTGAGCTGCAGCTACAAGCCTTGCAGATTATTCAACACATTCACAATGTCCCAATGCCTATGCCAATGCCTGGACCTGTCCCCACCCCACCCAGTGCAGCTTCAACCCCTGGTTCCCCCCCTGCTCCTATCATTGATGAGGATGCTATAATGCAGGAGGTATTGAGAAGGTCTAAGGAAGAGTATGAATCACAGAAGAGTGGTAAAGGAAAAGCAGAACAGGAATTTGAGAAAACATTAGCGGAGTCCAAAGAGGAAAGTGAGAGGTAATGGTTAGAGTAAGTTGTCATAGCCTGTGAATGTTAATACAGGAAGTATACAGTCGTCTTTCCTCACTCTCTGCCTAAAACATCTTTTACTTTAGCAGCAAGGAGAGAGGAGATACGGCTGAATTTGGCAAACTAGATTTGTAACTTTATAAGATAACCAGCAAGGTAAGTTTCACAGAACAAAACTAAGTATGTTTAACACTGAAAGCCTTTTGAGGACAGTTACAGCAGAGATTCCATCCCTTTCAACTAAAAAAGGGAGGTCTTAGGAGCGGCATAGCAGCTCCCACAAGTGCTGAAGGTGTGAGCCTCTAGTAGGGGAACCGGCAGCATGCTTTTCAGGGAAAAATTTTAAGATATGTGCCTTCAAGATGCCATTTCCTGCATTTTGAGATCACAGTCAATGGAAATACTGCACCCAAAATTATTGCAGGCTCATGATCAGATGACAAAAGGGTAAAAATGGCTGAGAAACCAGTGGCAGAAAAGTGGCAAAGCGTGCTAAAAAGACTCGTTAAGCAGAGAAATGGAAGAGTTTCCAAAACGCGAATAATATTAGGCAGAAACAGGAGGTTTGGGAGGGTTGGAATCTCTGCAATAGGTTAACAGATTATGTTGGCCCCTGTTGAAGACAGGACTGCCATTTTTACACGGATTTTCGCTGAAGCTCTAGCCATTTACAGTGCGAACAAAGCCAGTATATGTATAAGCATCTTCTGTGAGTTCTTTGACCTCCCACTCTGCAGTCCAGTCCAGTCCAGTCCAGTCTTTACCAAATGACTTATCCCTGCAATAGGTTCACAGTACACAATCCGACCATCCCTACTGTACTCTAAATGCACATATGCTGATGAATAGTCAACAATGATAACTATCCGGACTTGAATATATTTCAACATTTCTCCTCGGAAGAACCACATAAGCGCTTGTTATTATAATGCTGTTGTTCTAATCTTAACCTGCTCTAGCCAACCTCCGCTGGCCTCCCAAAGACCAGAAAGTGTTGTCACAGACAATGGCGAATGTTCCAGGTGATAAGACTTTCTTCCTCAGTTAGTCTCTTCTATCTATTTATTCTTTTCCTAACTCTGGTTTATTATTGAAATAGCCATTCTGTTTGTCATCATCTGTTTGTGGTCACCAGCAAGCATTTTCTTTCTTTCCCAATCCTCCCACCTCGCCTATTCCTTTGCTTCCCCTTTTCGCATCCCCATGCTTCTCTCACTTGACTAACATGTGTTAATGAATACTAAAATAAATGGTCAACAATAACAACCGTCCGGACTAAAATATATTTCAACACATCTCCTTTGAACAACCAAATAATTTTGTTTCTTAACCTGCTTTCCTTGCCAACTTCTGTCCTCCCAAAGACTGGAAAGTGTAGTCACAGATAGTGAACATTCCAGGTGATAAGACTCTGTTCTTCAGCTAATCTCTTGAATCTATTGATTTCTCTTCTTGGTCGGCAGCAGGCGTTTTCTTTCTTCCTCCACCTCTCCCACCCCGCCTATGCTATTGTCCCCCTCTTGCGTCCTCACACTTCTCCCCCTTCACTAGAAGAAAACAAAAATGACTATTACAAAGGCTGATGACAGACTTTGTTCATTAATTCACTTTTATTAGTAAAAATTCCATGACTTTGTCAGTGCGCTTAACCACACAAAATGATTGCTATTTCTTATTGTTTCACGTCACATCTTGCTCTTACTTCGTTCAGAAAATCTTTAAACTTTCCAGTCCCGGAGAAGGTGATCACCGAAGAAAGTACAAGGTGCTCAATGGTCTTTCATCATTCTTTCTATTTACTTGATGTGATTGTTCATTATGAGAACATGGGTAGTAAAGAAGTACTCTTGCTGTCATGGTACTCTGTTCTTTCTTAAGTCATATGTCACTTTGTTGTCTTGGGCAAGATTAGATATGTTTTCTATCGCTTGCCCCTCTACTATCTTCAATTCTTTCAAACCTTAACCTTGAAGAACAGTAAAAAGGCCTCGCCTACCTTAAACAATCTTTCCACTATATCAGGCATATTCAATATTATTCATGAGCCAGGTGTTAGGGGTGTTAGGGACGCATGCCATGAATTACTTTGCATCTTTGGGGATTTTTATGCGTCAAGGATGCAGGAAGTAGAGGTAACAAAATCGCTGCAGATGCACTTTCCCCACTCAGATTAGATTGCGAGTATTCCCTCGTTTCCCTCTGGGATAGTAAAGCTAGCGAAACACGTGAGCGCGCGTGAAAATCGCCACCCGCGAGCAAGGCGACCTTCGGAGGGAAGGGAGAAAACTTTCCTTCCACTTCTCCTTGCGCGTGGCGATTTTCACGCCCTCGCGTATTTCGCTCGCTCAACCATCCCTGAAGAAATGAGGGACTGTTTGCAGTCTACATTCAGATGTTCAGGTAGGTCTTGGCTTATTAGTATGCTGTGCCTTCTGAACTTAGGATAGTGTTGCACACCATACAGAAAGGAAGACACAGCTTTGAGCAAGTGAAAGAGCGGCAGTTCAATTAAATGTGGTCTGTATGTGGGCATGTGACCTTTTCTTATTTTTTCTTCCTTTTAAGGCTAAAGGAAATAGCAAAAAAAGAACATGAAGAATTAGAAAAAGCTCTTCAAATTTCACTAGAAGCGCAGAAACAGCAAGCAGCTGAAGCCGAAAAATTACGTGATGAAGTTAAGCAGTCGACTGTCCAACCTTCTGCTAAACCTCCTGATGTGGAAAGCAAACAAGCAGCCAAGACCTCCACTGTGGAGAGTAAACCAGTCCCGAAGCCTTCCCCTTCAAGCACAAAATCTCCTGCACAGGACACCAAACGTTTGGAAAAACCCCAGACTACAGGGTTACCACCTTTGTCAGGGAAACCGAAGAAAGCAGCAGATACACCGGCTGATGCAGCTGCAGGATGGCTGCAAAGTGCTAAGGAGGATGCTGCTAGTAGCACAGCCAAGCCGGTTCAGGTAGAATGACGATTATTAAGACAAGTAGCCGTTAAGCCTGTGTATCAGACTGTATTGTTGAAGCGCATTTTTATTGAAGAAAAGGTCTTGGCGAACCCATTTACTGTTCTACTTTTTCTTCTTCGCATTCCATTAATGACATGCTTGCAATTGGATTTTCTAGGTTTGACTATGAAGACTATGAAGTTGGTTTTCTCTTTCTGAGAAAACTCTTACAACCCATCTATTGTTGTCTAAAAGTTTTGTTCTTTGATGTTTCCTCGTAGAAGCAAGAAATAACTCCTGAAGAGATGAAAAGACGCTCTGAGTACCTAAAGCAGCAACGAGACAAACTCCTTGCATTAAAAAGACAGGAACGCGAGAAAAGCTTGACGAAGTATACCGAACAGGAGTCGAAGGCTCGGCCGATGTCCGCTCATACAGCTCGTCGAGTCACCGCTGGCGAGCAAGTTGATTCTCCGCCGTCAAAAAGCAGCCAGGAGGATGCGAACAAGTTAGCCATGCGCAGAGCTCTTGCGGACTGTTTGAAACGGGAGGTCATTGACAAGGATTAAATTGCACGGAATAGAAAAGAAACTTTGTTCCAGTTTCGGCTTGTTATGTATGGTCATTTTAAGATAATTCAGTAGCACGAAAAGTGACTTAAGAGACAGTCGAAAAGCGCAACAATGCGAGTGAAACCCCAAGTTGGTATTATAGCAAGTTTTCTATAGATTTAAGGATATGTTGTAAAAAATGTGAAAGTTGGCGTAAAAAAACGGACCGGCTTGCCTTGCCCCTTTGCAGCGTTTTCCGTGACATATCGACATATCCGCGCTTCGCCCTCAACGAATAATCTGCGACCAGCCGCTTCAATTGTACGATGCAGTCTTGTAATCGTTGCGTTTTCTTTTAGCTCTATTTAATGTAATTTTATAAATGTAAACAAGTTTATAGTTCGCGTAAGTACGTTCTTTGAGACTGAGATTCGGTCAGCATCCTTAAATGTAACAGAAATGCAACCAGTAAGAAACCAATTTCATTCTTAGACGAAGAATTTAGTACTTTTATAAATGCGTGCGCCTTGAAAGGTCGGTGAACATTAGACCGCAAAAAGGGATTTTCGCCTGCCCTTTCGTGTCCTATGATTCATCTCGATTTCAAGTTTTGATGCTTGTGTATGAGCGAGGGTTCAGTTAGTGACCTCTAAATCGTTTTTTGTTTTGGCTTTAGAGGAAATTGCACTTACTCTTAGTAGAAATTATATAAAATGGTTATAAAACTGCAGGCAGTTTAAAATGAGAAGTTACTTCAGCTAAAGTTTTTTTTTCCGACCAGGTGGTCATTTAATCTTTCTTCCTGATTAAAAATTAGTTCTAGAAAAGAGTGATCAAAATCGGAAATGATTACTGCAAAGTCAGGTCATTGTCTCATTGCACTCTTGACAAAAATTGTAGTTTTAATTATATTAATGTCTATCTTCGCAGTGTCCTTAGCCTGAAGAACATGCATTATTTTCTCGTGTTTTTCAGACGAGCGAGGAGGATACGAGACACGCGCCGTCGTGGGAAAGCGCGAAACATAAACCTCCCCCGATTCGCTTCTCGCTCGGTTCGCGCTTGCCTTTGCACTCCTGAAAACGAAAAATGACACTTTTCAATTTTTTTCATTTTGAAGGAAACTTTTGTAGTAACAAGTATCCCTTAACTTTATTTCCAAGACATCTCCCACTTATGACCCTTGTCATTATGGGTGAGTTTTTACATGCACGCCATAAGTGTTGTCAGAACTTGGATGGTTTGGCTAATCAATTAAAATTAAATAGATTTTGAGTTTTCTGTCTTTTTTAGATTGCAAATGCTTTGTCGAAAATCACTGTGGAAAACTCTTTCTTCCTTTTTTTGTTACATGCTTGAATAATTTAAGTTTAATTCTTCGTTCCATTACATGCTGGCATCTAGTTGTCTCTCTTAGAAATAAAGAATCATTGCAATTCAATGTGCTGGCTCTATAATGCAGATCGTACCGCAAAATGGAAGGTAAAAAAGGACGAGAAGTTGATGACTGAAGGAAAGTGTATAACCTAAGAAAACAGCCAACATTTCGCGACGCTACTGGTGTCCCCGATTTCCTACGCGGCACGACCAATTAGACTGGGTAGTAACGCGTCATCAGTATTTTCTATTTTCCAATTCCCCATAATACACTCTGTTTGCCCCCCAAATTTTGCATAAACCATTGTTTTTAAATGCTCCTGGGAGTATTGCATTTTCCCAAGAGCATTTTAAGACAATAAGTTATGCAAAATCTCGCCAGTCATGCGAGTATTTGGGTTTTTGGTGTTCCCCGTGGGCGCATCAGTTTTTTTTTTTAGGAGGTGGGTACACTTGTCTTTTGTTTAATCTCCACCCAAATAACCCGATTGTTTTTTTTTTTTTTTTTTCGAAAATACCAATTTGTTTAAAAAACCGGAGGGTATGTCAGGGGGGGGGGGGTGCGCACCCCCTGCACCCTCCCCCTAGATCCTCCCCTGGTGCATCATCGAAACTCTTCGTCCGGTTTGGACTTGTCCCAAGCCAGAGCGATTCCCCATACCCCAGAGCCATTCCCATTATGGCTCTTGCCATACCTTATTTACATTTCATGAATAACAATACCCAGGGCAGAATACTATACTGTTTTCTTAGGCTAAAATTTGTATTGAAATATGTTATTCCAGGGGGTGGGGTAAGGGAGGGAAATCGAGTATCCCCATAAAGAGTAGCTGAAAGCGGGCCGGACGCAGATCTTAGCCTGCGTAGCAACACTTGAAAGTAATAAAAGAAGGGGCGCGAGAGGGGGACACGCGTTCTTCCTCGTGCGCCAGGTTTTCCTTCCGTCCATGTTACTTTTAAGCACCCACCTTTTTTTTAATTTGGGGTCTTCGATGATGTCCTAATTAGAGGGAATGTGGAGTGGAGGAAGTCATGAATATCTTTCTCGATCTCATGTGTAAGGAAATATGCCAAAAAAGTTTATTTTTTGTTACTCACCTGGCCTCGATTCACGGCGACGATTTTCCAATGTCTCTGTTGATGTGAAACTGAAAATGATCGAAAATGACGTCATAAGCCCGTTTCAGCATCGATCTGCTCTCCGATCTAATAGAAAAATGTTTGGAATATATCCCACTTATAATTGAGAGGGCAGAATAATCGAACGGATGTTCCCGATTGTTTCATATTAAAAAGTTGAAAAAAAGCTAAAAAGGTTACATAAAAACCGAAACACTGAACGCTAGGGTTTTGTAAAGCATAATTTGTGAAAAGAAACAGCATTTTTGTTATTTTTGAATTGAAAGAAAATTCAATTTTACGCGGGAAATATCGAAAATGGCGCCGTGCACTCAAACTCTGGGACCCCCTTCACTATTTTGCGGTCGCCCCCTAATGTTTTGATGGTCCTTGCAGAAAGTAGAGCAATACAGCATGGCGGACACATTTGAAGGTGGACATTGACAGTAATTTTCTCATGGTGGACGATGCGGGAACCGTTCATTGCGTTAAAATATTAGTGGGCCAGGATTATGGCGAGCACTAGGCGCCGTGTTAAATTATATACATTAAACGAAGACCGGCAGTGGGATGACCGTGGTACGGGGCACGTGTCTTCGTCGTACGTTGAACGTTTACAGGGAATGTCGATCATGGTTCGATCCGAAGAAGACGGTTTGTGGGGATAGTTCTGTCCGCTGCTATTACTTGTTTTATTTTATTATGGCTATTTTTTCGAGAAAACCCGAAAACCTGTTGTATATTGACCCCGGTTGCTTCGTTTACAGGTTCAATTCTGCTCGAGTCAAAAATACAGCCGCACACTGCCTATCAGAAACAACAGGTACATTTCGTCATTTGTAGTATTTTTGAAATTATGCTCGTTTCTCGTGAAAGTTCTGTTATAATGGTAATTGCATTTTTTTCACGATAGGAGACTCTAATTGTGTGGTCAGAGGGCGACAACTACGATCTAGCACTTAGTTTTCAAGAGAAAGCGGGCTGCGATGAGATTTGGGAAAAAATTTGTCAGGTAGGCTCATTCTTCGATAGCTTGAATACGTTTTCATTTGTAAAAACTTAGGTTATGAGATGAGTTGCTTGTATAACAGTAATGGAACGTTACTTAAAAGTGAAAGGTGCATTTGTTTGGTATTTAACAAATCTATCGCCTACCCACAAACTCTTACGAAATCATTAAATGTCACTTCTGTCAGTGAAAATCAAGTCTCTTGAACATCGATTTTTTTCTCCTCTACATAGTAGCGTGCTAAATTAATTCTCTTTGGCAGATTCAAGGAAAAGATCCATCTGTTACCATCACGCAAGACATCCCCGAAGACGATGAGTCGGAAGAAAGATTTGAGGAAGTTATGGATTCAACAGGCCCAATTGAATTACCCGCTTGCGAACTTAGTAAACTCGACGAAATCGCCGAGTTATTTAACAGTGTTCTACCCTCACCGATTCGTCGAGAAAAGTTAGCACTGGCTATCGAACAAGACAATTACATCAGGAAACTGCTGGATTTGTTTCACATCTGTGAAGATTTAGAAAACTTAGAAGGACTTCACCATTTGTATGATATTTTTAAGTCATTGTTTTTTATGAACAAGCCTTCGTTGCTCGAGATTATGTTGGCTGATGATTTAGTCTTCGATGTAGTTGGCTGTCTGGAGTACGACCCTGGCAAACCGGCCCCACAACGGCATAGATTATTTTTAAAGGAGAGCGCGAACTTCAAAGAGATCATTCCTATAACGAACTCGGATATTATAAACAAGATTCATCAAACGTATCGTGTACAGTACATCGCCGACGTAATTCTTCCTCCTCCTTCGGTTTTTGATGACAATATGCTGGCTTCAGTGCATTCGTTTATACTTTTTAATAGGATAGAAATTGCCACACATCTGCAGGTGGGTCAACTTTTATATTTTCAAAAGAATTGCCCTAGTAAGTAAAAATTGTTGTTGTTAAGGAAGAATCAAACGACGTTCTTTACGTTTCTATTTGAAATCTGAGCTTCACCAACCATTGTCAAAAATCATAGTTTTCACATTTCCGCCGGCTGACAGTAAGAAAATTAAAATTGACAAAATATATCAGTGCTTTTCCTGTACATAAACCAGGAGGATTTTTCTTAAGATCTGTTTAAATTTTGATGGAACTTTCAGTCAATCCTGCAAGTTTCTTCAGCCTATTTTAGAATTTTCTGTCAGAATATCAAATTACAAATCTTTGTATTTTGTTACAGAAATTGTGGTCAGTTGGGTTTGACTTTAATACGTTTGTGATCACGATTTCATGCATTGGTGCTGTAACTTTGTGCTACTTCCCGGGGTCATCATGTTGTGTGTTGACCTAAACTTTTAGACCCCTTAAAACTACACTTGATCACATGCACAGGTGTTTCAGAAATGGCTATTGACATTTCTTTTGTTTCTAAAGCAAAAAATATTGTTTATCTTGACATTTCTTACAATCATGTGGTAGCTGCACTGTATGACTAATGTGCATCTCAGCAAAATCAATGAAACAGTCTTTTCCTCGAAAGATATTTGGACCAGTTGTAATTCAATCCAGTTTTAGAGTTAAGATGAAATCTGAAAATTTCTTCTGTTCTGTTTTGGTGAAACATACTCTTCGGTGCATTCACCAGTATGGTTGGCTTGTTTTGATAGTTGTAAGTAACACTGCCTCAAAACAAAGGTTGTTGGTGTTTTTAGTATTTATTGTACTGTACTTGTGGGAAGTCCTATACTAATGTGATGTTAGTCTCAACTCTTTTTGTTTTAATTATTTGCACAAGGCTTTGTTTAACAGGATATGATCATTGTTCATTGTACTTCAATTTACTACCCTGTGTCCCTGAGAACTTACCAAAAAAATTGCACTAATAACAAAGGGTTGTTGCAAAAGCCTTCTAACTTTGTGGACTGCCAGTGAAAGTTGCATTTTCCACAGTTACCATGTTGGCAAATCTGAAAATCACCAATAAAATCTTCTCTCTTTATCCTTGAAACACTTTCACCCTCAACTTCTATGACTATTTCTTTTTTTTGTGTTGCTTCAATGCTTGAGGATTAAACATTTTTGTAGACAGCTGAGGTTAGGGTGCCAGGATGGCCGTTGATAAAAGGTCTTAAATAGTTAATGCCATCCTTGTAGACCAGGTCCAGCTGTCTGCTTTATATACAGCTGTTTTGAGAAAGGTCGGAAGAAATGCGCCCCCGACAATCCCGAAAGGTAATATGGGATATGATCAATACTCTGTTCGTAACGACCGAACCTGTCAAACCTACTTTTGTTGTTCTCCTTTAGTACTCGCAAACATACGTCCGGGCCTCCCGTACCATTCTTTCAAATTTCTTTGAAGAACAGTGTTCTCAAAGGCACCCACAATACCTTTCAGGATTGTCACGTGCACTTTTTCCGACAACCTTTCTCAAAATAGCTGTATTATTTAAGTATGGTTTACAGGGGCCATGTCATGAGCATATTGCTGTTGAGTCCACGTTCATCCTTGCCGTCAGTAGCAACAGAGAACAGGAAACAGTTTCAGTGCCTAAATGTAGTCCTAAGTAACGAAAATGGACCATAAATTAATTTTAAGCGAAGACATATTTCAGCTTATTTTTAAAAGAGAGCAAATAGCATGCGGTAGCCCCTTAAACGGATGTGCAGGAATGTACCATGAAATTTAAAACACATATTGCAGCTGAGTGTTCAGCATTTTATTGGGAATTGTGATTACATATCTTTTTGATACTGGTTCTTATTTGGGTATGGAGTGTTTACTTATAGAAATTCAACTGGCTTTTAATTTTTTTCTTAACAGGATGATGAAAAGTTTTTAGCAGACATGTTTTTGCAACTCGCTGATGAAGACACGTTGGAAGAGAAAAAGAAACAACTGGTACAATATTATTAGAATGTGACCTCACATGGGAAAATGTACACTAACAGCTATCCATTAAAACGGCAGAAAGCGTTAGATCTCCATTTTGTTATCTGATAAAATGTTTTATCAAACCGTTAATCTGTTAGACAAACCATTTTTCGTTGTAACCCATTCTGTTAAAATGGTAGTCGCCAACGGTTAGATTGATATAGCAAGCTGTTTTAATGGCAAACACTATCCGTTTACAGTTAAACCTCTTTAATACAGACACCAAAGGGACAGAACCAATTGAACACTTTACAGAGGTGTCGATATTATAGAGCTTTGGCAGGGAATGTATGATTTTTGGCATTTCTGGGATCAAACAAACTGTCCATACTAGAGAGGTGTCTGTAAGGAGTGGTTAGACAGTAGTTGATTCCAGAAAGCATTAAAAATGGCAGTCTCCAAAATGCCAAAATAATCACAAGCTGTTTAAACGGCTATCACCAACATCAGTTCAAACTGTGCGTGGATCATAGAGAGTAGCACCCATCTATGCCTATGTGTATCCGATGGTGTCCGCCATGGCGTCATACAGTAGTTTGCTATCCCGGCACATTTTTTGTTTCTAGGCAACATTCGACTGAAAGCCAGTGACAGTCATTCGACTGAAAGTCAGTGACCAGAGTGCTTGGTCTTTTTGCAGTCGTTTTAAGAGGCGCTGAGTGCTTTTTGCAATGAATTTCGAATGCAAAAGCACTTTTAAGAGCAAATGGAAGTGATTCTGGATAATTAGCCTTAAGATATGAGCAAAAATCAAGGTAACAAAACACGTTTTGCTTGTAGACAAGTTTGTACTGTATCAGCTTAGTTGGGCGTCTGTTCTTTAATGCGATGAAATGCATTGGCGTTATCGTCAAAACAGCAGTCATTCTTCTGAAAAGTATCTCTGAATTCATGTTTAATGGGGCTCAATCAACTTTATACAGGGCACACTGGTGGAAGTTCTAGGGAAAAGGCTTTTAATAAAGTATTATCAACATCTTGGCAATGTGTTTCACGTGGCATAGTAGTAATGAAACAGCCTGGCTTGTAGAAGGTCCAGAGTTCGATTTCGGGCAGAACTTGTTTTCCTCTTCTCTTCTCTTCTTCTTTTTTTTTCCTTTTCCGTTACGTTTAGTCATCTCTTTAGTTATTGTAATTTTGTTTTGTTTATTTATATACCTGAAGTTTTTTAAATTTATAAATTTTCTTTCTTATTGCCTTATATCCCCTTCAACTCCTTGCCGTTCTCCTGTTCTAAGCCATTCAATCGGCCTAGAATACCATTTTAACACTTTCCAAATCAGTTTTCCTCCCATTTTCAGCCATCTGTTTTATCCATTAGTGTACGTTTTCCCATTCAAGGTCAAAGGTCATTCATTTGTAATGATTGTTCCAGTCCGATAAGTGGATTAAATTCCTTGTGATGAACAATGTTTGATGATATTTTCTGTCCTCACATCTTCCTGTACGAGAACAAAATGTTAAACTCATTGAGTCTAGGTCACATAATAAACTCCCAAAATTAGGACCTTTAGTGGCATCTGTCCATTGATGTCTAACAAATTCATGTCTTTTTGCAGGTAATCTTTTTGAAAGAACTAGTTGGTTTCTCTTTACACTTTCAACTTCACCAGAAAGATGAGTTTTTTAAGGTTTGTAGAAATCATCTCATTTGAGCAAACAATTAATGCCTTAAATAGTAATAAAATATTACCCTATTTAGTCTCACTTGGATAAGCAACGAGGCTCATAATCTGCAAGCCATTTTTTTCCCTTCATATTTAGTACACAAAAAGGCCATTCTAGTCCCAGGCGTTCCTAGCGGAGACGGTGGAAACTGGGAATAAGAATCGTTGTGTGACTGAAGCCACTCATGTTTGCCGAAGAAAGCTTAGGTTTAGAGCTAACACGCATACTAAATCAATTCCGAAACAAATACAAAGTAAATATCCAGAAGTAGGAAGTGAAAAACCTTTAGCGAGTAAATCCTGTTTTGTGTAGAATTAATTGCCTCATTTCTCGATCTAATCTTCAAGCAAGCAAGACTTAACACCGCTGTAAGACCAATCTTGTTAGTACCTATATTGCTGATATCCTGGACCTTATTTTGTTTAAAGAGTCTTGCTCCTGAATAAGCAATTAGTTTATTGAACAAGGAATCATGCCGCTTATCTCTTTTTCATGCATTAAGTATGTTATTCATCGATGCACCACTTGTATGACTCATCACCACCATTTGCATGACTCATGCAAATTGTACTACTTGAAAGCAGTTTTACCAGTTGTATGTCAGCTAGGAAGGGCTGCCAGGCTGATAGCATTGCACCAAATCTGCCAAAGCACCTGACTTGTCCCCAGTAAGCTCATCATATGTAGGCGGTCATGGAATGGTTAGGGGAGACTATTACAGCACTGCTTGCCGGTGTCTTCCACAGGCTTACTTCATAATGTTTATGAGAGAGCCAGGAAGACAACTGGGAACTTGTCAGCTTATGCAGTGGTTCTGGGGCATCGATTGAATTTGTGATCATTGTCACTTTATACTGTGCTGCCTGAAACCCACTCTTCACCTCTCTGAAAAGTTTTAACATCTAAGCTCAGTTCCAACAAATCTGCATCATTTATCCCCAGTTAAGTCTTGCACATCTTAAATCACCATTGAAGGCATGAGTTACAGATAAGAATCTCAACCATTCTCGCCACTTTTTTTTTTCAATTGCCTTCCAGAGAAAAGCACAAATATTTGATGCCAAAAGCATTAAGGCATAGTAACTTAGGTAATCAATTATTACGTTTTAACTCTGTATTATTATTCCCTCAGGCACTTACACACCATGGTTTACTTCCTGCCCTAGAAATGCTGCTTGTAAGTATAAGTTTACTAAGCTCCAGTAGGATAATAGAAAAGAGCATCCAAGTACATGCTATCATGGGATATACTGATGTTTTGTGATTGGGAACTTACTTTATCCATGAGGAAATTGAAAAATAAAATGCTCAGGGTTACACTTGTGTAATTTTATCTACGGGATGTGAAGGTAATTGGCCGTGGGGTTGAAGGTTGAAGATTCACCTTAGGTGATAAATCCTAGTTTCGCTGGCTGTTGCTTGGCGGGTGTATCCTCTCTTGCTACTGAAGAGATCAATTTTCAGAGTTACAATCTCTGTTGCAAAGGTGACATCTGTGTGAAGTCCTTGGTCTGTTGGAGTTATTGAGCTCCTTTCTGCTCAGAACACATATTGCTAGTGGTAACCTTGCATTTAACTTATCATTCCCTTAGCCAGGTGTGGGAACCAGGGAAGGGAGAGTCAAAGTAGCAATATTATGGCTCATAAACAGGATTAAGCTCCAGTCATGTTGTGATGCTTGGTTTGCAGGTTAGTGACAATGAAGAGCACAGGCTGGCATCTGTAGAAATGTTCTCCCAGGTTGTTGACATCAGTCCTTACCTTGTGAGGGATTTCATCATGAAAGAGGCACAAACACAAGAAGAAGTGAGTACTTTTTCTGTGGGTTTTGTGGCAGGCAATGTAGTTCCCAGATTTCCCAGCGTCAAAGCCGGATGTTTTGTTGTTAAACGCTGACTGTTCTCCAGTTGAACCAGTACTTAGCCAGGTAATAGCCCTAATAAGTGGGAGACAGAGGAGAACAGAATTTACCCACAAATTATAGATACAAGTTACAAGGTGTGCAATGTTGCATCACATGTCCAGTCCTTAATAGTGTCTCTTTAAACCCAAGTGCCCATCTATGATAAAAACTTAGTCAGATTCAATTAAAATAAAGTTAATAATAATGATAATAATAATAATGTGTAGTTCCAGAAAACATCCAGACCCCCACCACGGAGGGAATTTCACTTAGGACCTCCCACCCCCCTGGATTTTCCATTTTTGCAGCTAACGTTATTTAGAGTCAAATAAAAAATAGTTAATATCAATGGTAAGATCAAAAGGGTTTGGTACCAGAAATACGCCCCGCCCGCCCCGCGGAGGGAATTTCACTTAAGGCCCCCCCCCCCCCGGGATCTTCCCTTTTTGCAGCGGACTGATTGCCCCCCCCCCCCCACCCCTCTGTAATTTCCACAAGTGTGACAAAGACCCCCCAACCCCTCTGGAAAAGTTCATTTTCACAAAGAAAGACTATTAAAGTAAAAGAATGAAGCAGTTTATGGTTAGTACGTAACGGTTTCCATCAGAAGCTTGTAGGCTTCTGTTTCCATTTATTGAGTGATCTCGCAACATTAAAACACACTCCACCACCACAAAGTAACCTAATCTGCAGTTTTTGCTCATCTCTAACTTTAAATGAAATAGATAAAGTTATAAGTCGGTTGTATTTATCAATTTACCTTAATCAGGGCAACCTTACGATTTGTTATTTGTCTTCATGGGCGTAATGTTGATAGAATTAACGCCATTTCGTGCGAGAATGCTGCTTGGTGAACAAGTCAAACTTTCAACCACAAAATTAAGGCAAAGCAAAGAGAAGAATAAAAACTCTGACTTCTGAGATGATAACAATGAATACCCCCTGCATCTTGAAGCAAAACTAAGTTCAATTTACTGTTTTCCAATCGACTGATGCAACGTTATACATGGACGCAATGGCCGTAATGTTTGGTGAAATCAACACCATTTCAGTGAGCGAGGATCGATCTTGAACATGCCACATCTTCAATCACAAAATTAAGGGAAAATGAAAGGAGAATAGAAACTCTACATTCTAAAATGGTTACAATGTATAGTTTGTACTTTCTGAAGTAAAATTGCCACGCTACTGTTCTTCCATCGATCCACTGACGCAACATGATGTGCTGCACACGTTGCTGTCTTAAGGGAGACTGGTAACAAGTAATGGCGGCTGAAAATACGAGCATGCGATAAAACGAGTTGTAGTCAGTCTAATTCCCTTAAAATTACATCCAAAACGCTTTTGGAAGAAAGGAAACCTGGTTAAGATCAAAAGGAACAATCTTAAATGATAAATTTCAAGTTATTCATGTCCTAAAAATGATCTACCAGTTCGGTAAGAAGCAACATTCGAACTCAGGTGGAAAACAAAATGATGTTTACCCTTGGAAAGTGATTTTATTGTCCAACCCCCCTCCCCTCTGGAATTTCCTGTACCTCTAACCCCCCCACCCCCCTGGAATTTCCAATTCCCACTGTGGTGGAGGTCTGGATATTTTCTGGAACCACACATTAATAATAATAGTAATTATTATTATTATTATTGTTATTATTATTATTATTATTGTTTTACACACAGGGATTTTGTCATTTTCACTATATTTATAAACCTTTAATTTCAGTAGTAAGTCGTTGCCATTGTTATGTTTTCTAACTGGGTAATTTTATTTATTGGATTTCTTTCTTTAGGACATGCTTATTAATCATATGATAGATTACATGATATGTGATGGAGATACAGGTCAGTGGTTGATAAGATGATTATTATTATTTTTGTTGTTGTTGCTGTTGTTGTTGTTATTTATCAGCCTCTGTTACTCTTACCTCTGCATAAAATTTGAGGGCACAAAGTATGTTCTAACTTGTTCTGTTTCATTGTAGGAAATGCTTATCAACTCTCTCAGCTGATCAGAACATTACTTGACCCAGAAAACATGGCCCTAGGAGCGAATGTAAGTGCTTTCTTTGACAGATAAATGTTTGGCTGCTCTGCTGTATGGGCATTTACAACAGTGATTTTGTTACAAATAGTTATGGTGAGTTCTGGGACTCATCATGTGCAGTTTTTATTCTAGACTAGGGCATTTCCGGATTCCAGCATTGGGAGAATGAGGAGACGATGGCTATGAAGACAATGAAAGATACACTCCAGCTCAAAAGAGAAAAATTATTTTACACTAAGCACTTACACTACCCTGGTTGGGCTATATTTCTTGAAAAGGGAGCCCTTTACAATTACTTTAGAAGGCTGCTCATGGTCCTGATTGGCCACCCTGTTTTAGTTCAATTGAGAATAGCGTCTAAAAATGATACCCTGCTCTTTTTTCTGCAGAAAATGGAGAAGTCTGAATTCCTGAGTTTCTTCTACAAACACTCTATGCACGTTTTGACAGCACCCCTTTTTGCTACGACGTGTGATGACAAGCCAAGCAAAGGTAAATAGTCACTGGTCATTACTTTACATGTGGCTGGCCTATTGGAAACCTCCTTGGAAATCCTCCTGTTTCTACCCATTCTCAGGAAAACTCCTAGAATGTAAGTTTTTATTGATTGGTTTGGCATTGGTGAAGGGATAGACCCTGCTGACTTTGGAAAATTAAGATTATTTTGGACCATTCATGCCAAGGCTTGGTTGGAAGGTTTCGTATGAATTATTCTGATTATTTTATCAATCTGAGCCTCAAGTTGGTGACTTTGTTTACAAGAGTGCAGGGTGGTCTGTTAAGAGCATTTTGTTGGTAGTAAAATGTGCAATTTTGTTTTGAGGGTGTTCATGGAATAAAGCTGTCAGTGATTGTTGATGTAAAGTCCCAGTATCCTTTAGTTTCAGAAACAAAATACAAGGAAATTTGTTTACTAGGATTTAATCAAAAGTCAGGTACAGCTCTTTTCCATATGTCTCTTCATTTTTGCGCTGAAAAACTCCTGGAATTTCCAAGTCTCTCAGTAGTATGGACCCTGTTAAAGGTATCTGTGATGAGCCATTCTCTCAATTTTTTGCAGATGACTATGTTAACAGTGTGACACTTGGACACATCCTTGAACTTTTGACCTTCTGTATCGAGCATCACACATATCACATAAAAAACTATGTCATAAATAAAGACCTCCTCAGAAGAGTGCTAGTACTGATGAAGTCACGTCACAAGTTCCTGGTGTTAAGTAAGTTTACCTTTTTACTTAAATCATGACATTCATTTTCTTTGCGTGATTTTTGTTAAATTTTACACAGTGAATCAACACTGTGACAGGGAATGAAACAGGAATTGCATCCTTTGATATCAACCTCTCAATTACCCACCCAGCCCATGAAAGGTTGACCACAGGTCTGGAGTCTATGTCCCCTACTCTCTTCTAACAGCTGTGTGCATTTGTTTGCATCCCACGTGAACCAGAAGAGGGGAAGTGTTGTGAGATGGAACTAGGATTGTTAGTCTTAGTCTGGTCATTAGAGAGTTTATTATAAGCAACCATAATGGTGACAGCAAAGAAAATGTCAATTAAGAGGTGAATTTGTGCTGTTTGTGTGCAGTTTGTTAATACCAGACAGAAGAATCACTTGGACACTACATTTTGGAGAACCTTGACTGCGCAGAGATCATTTTTCTATCGTGCAATAGTATCATAGAATAAGTTAAACGAGGATACTAAGAACAGCTTGAATGTTGATCTATTGTGAACATTGAACATTGTGCTTGTAGGGAACTTTGGGCATCTATACTTTGACTTATGTGATGTTTTTAGGATCATATCTATGTTAGTTTATCTTGATAACTTGTAGCAGTTTTTTAAGAGTATTGTTATTATGAGGTTTCTTCTGATGATTGTAAATTAACTTTGAAAATCCCAATTTGGGATATGTTAATAAACTTATTGTATTGTATCTTATTGTAAAGGTGCAAATGAACCAAAGGCTCAAACAGCCGTAGCTTATCCCAGTTTCTTTAGCATGAAGCATGCCCAGGAGTATTGCTACTCCCCCCCTGGATGGGATGCTAGTCCATGGCTATGGGGGGGGGGGGGGGCGTATACATGGGAATTTTTTTTTGTTTACAGGACGAAGGGGCAAAAAGCGGGGGGGGGGGGGGGGGGGGGGGGAAAAGGGGACATTTTCCATAGAACTTTTACTTTTTTTTTATTGATCGGAAGACTCTATGCAACCAAAGGCTCAAAACGCGGTGTGTCTCCCCCGTGTTTTTAGGGGAAGCAGGGCGCGGGGTGTTGCCGGCGCCCCCCTGGGGGGGGGGGTGGGGGTGGGGGTGGGGGGGGGGGGGGGGGGGTTTTAATGGGGGGTTTTTTTTGTTTTAAAGGAAAGTGGGGCCAAAAGGGGGGGGGGGGGGGGGGGGGCGGGGTAAAAGGGGACTTTTACCATAGACCTTTCATTTTCTTATTATTTGACAGAAAGTCATTGGTCTATGTAACCAGCTGACTCCCCTTCCACCCCTCCTCCTCCCGCTCAGCGCTCATGTAACATTTTGTGTACACTGGCAAATGAGAAAAAAATGTTTGCTAACTTTAACATTGACATTTTCTGTTCCCTTCATTAGACTCACTTCGATTTCTCAGAAGAATAGTGGGGCTTAAGGATGAGTTTTATAACCGCTACATTGTCAAGGGCCAGCTGTTTGATTCAGTAATTTGTGCATTTAAAGAGAATGGGCAAAGATACAATCTGCTGAATTCAGCCATTGTAGAACTGTTTGAATTTATCAGAGCGGTGAGTATGAAATATCAATAAGACATGATTATGATAAGTGATTGTAAATAAAAGTTTGTTATATTTTATTTTTATCACACTATATTCCAGAATTTTTTCATTTTCAAATCATTTCGTCTGTTGAAGACGGTAGTTCAGGCGGTTGGAGGCTTGTATTTTATAATAAATTTTTCAAATTATATTTGAAATATCACTGAAGTGTAGAAAGTACTAGTTTTGATCTGACATCAAAGGAAGAACTCTTCATCAGAAGAAATTCCCGTTGATGAGGGTATCAAATTTTTTATGAGTCCCTTTCAATTGTTCTTGTAGGAGGATATGAAGACTTTGTGTACCCATGTTTGCTCAAAGTACACAGAGTTCTTTAAAGATGTCACTTATGTCAGTACATTTAAAGGGCTTCTGCAGAGGGATGAACAGGAGAAAGACAGAAAACAGAATAACAGAATCCTTGAAAGGTATGTTTGTCAGCAGATCTGGTTTTTAAGGATGCCAACACTATTTTCAACAAAGATCATTTTTGTGCCTATAAATCATTGGCAAGTTGGTACAAGCATGATTAGTGTTAATCCTGGGTTAACTGGAAACAGAGTAAATAATTATTGTAATTAGATGAGTGACATCATTTCAGTTTTTTGAACCTTGTGAATATTTTTAGACTGTTCACAGTCCCCTTATTTTTCTGTAACATCATCAAGATTGAGTGCTTTGTGTTACGGGCAGCCATCTTGGTTTCAGTTGTTCCAAGTTTAGCCCGGGGATGAGTGTCAGTCGACACCCTCCCCCTCGGGACATGTGAAAGCAAGATGGCCGATTATACTATTAAGCACTCAGTCTGGAAGATCTTACAAAAAAATACTAGATTGTGAACAGTCTAGATTAGTTTGGACTATTCACTTGTGTGTGTCTTGGACATTTGCTACCTGGCAATTTATTGGTCAAATGGGTGATGCTGGTAGATGATGATGATGTACTTGGTCTTTGTGACATTACAGTTAACACCTGCATAAAAGAACCTACTTTTTAAGTCTGGCAAAATAGCTTCTTGTATTTTGGGGTTCTTATTGGCAATTAATTTTTATGAAGGAGATAATAGATTGTTGATTAGCAGAAAAATAAAACAAAAACTGGGTTTGGTCCTTAAAAAAATATTGTTTGCAATAGTATTATTATAACTCTAACACAACTGATTACTGAATTTATATTCAGTTTGGTACACATACAGTATGTTCTCATTATACTTAAATTTACAATCTCAAAGTTACATTCCTTGGTTAAATTGTTTATCATTACCCACATATAAAAACCTGCTTGATCTTGCTTGACTAAACAGGTTCTTGTATTTTTGGGTATTAAGGTGGCAAATTTCTGCCGGGAGGGTTTTAATCCACAGGTTCTTATATGCGGGTGTTTACTGTATTTCACTGACTTGGACTTGCAGCAGAGGTGGCATGAACCATGGAATCATTCATGTGAACAGCCGGTTCAGACGAGATGTGCGCACGCTGGAAGAGGAAGAAGAACATTGGTTTGATCAGGAAGATGAAAATGGAGAGGATAATGTCATGATGGAACAGAATGATCTCCTCTCAGATGATTCTGTGTTTAAGAGTAGAAAATCCTTTGTCAGTGAAAAGCCAGCTCAATCAATTGTCAACAACAAGCGGGTAAGTGTGGTAGCTATTTATACACGAGTAAGTTGGAATCATCAATAAAACCAAACCCCCTTTTAGTGTAGTCATGGCTGTATAATATTCAAGTTCAGAATGGTGAGAATAAACTGTCAAAACAATGGGCTGAAGATTAACATCTAATAACAACTTTAAAGTATGCCTCATAGAAAACAAACATGTGTACCAAACATATTATGTTCGAGACAAAATATCAGTGGGAGCTTTGTATATCTCTTGCGAATATTGTATCCTGTTTGTGAAATGAAGCAAGGTGTAGAGATCTGAATCAAAAGTTAATGAATACTTATTAGCTGTGTGTAGTGTTTGTAACAAAAGTTAAATGATTCTGTTTGAAACTTTGTCAACCCTGTTGATTCGCATTGGAACTTACAAAGGTGTTCATGTGACTCAATTACTTCCTCTTGATTTGCTATACAACATATATGAATAATTAACAAAATTGCAGATAGCGAAAAAAACATGCTTGCAAATAGGTTTTCAAAATCCACGATTTCAGTCTGTTTTAATCTTCAGTGTTGTTCGTCTATTCCTTTTTTTGTATTATTTTGTTGTGTTATGTCATTTGTTGGCAAGAGCCAGCTCATATGAAGATTCAGTATCTCAGACACTTGTAACAAAGCCATTTGTTGTTCTTTCAACAGCCATTAATTGGCCTTGTCGATTACCCTGATGATGAAGAAGACGATGAGGAGGAAGATGCTACCACCAGCCCCGCCAAAAGAGCTCGACTAAATGCCTCCTAGCATTTGCTTACATGGGCTTAAGGGGGCAGGTACAGGTTACCATGGCTACCATAGCAGGCCTTATGGAGTGGAAACGCCAGTCATGTCATATGTCCATCGTAATGTATCCAGAGTATAAAGATACCCCAAAGTTGAGCTTTTATGTCCCCTGGGAAGCTTGATCACTGTGCACATGCTGTAGTTTTTGGATTTTATTTTGTTTTGTTTACCTCTACTGACCTCATTTTAAAGTAATTTCTTTTAATTTTTCACATTCTAACTACATTGTTGGGGCTGATTAGCGTGAATATAAACAAATAATAATTTATTGGCTGTCATGCAAATGGTATAATATTTTTCTTCTTGTTGTATGTGAAAATTGGACACTCTTACTCTTGTCAACTTGTGTCAGTTCCACATAAGATTGATGACTTCAAAAAGTATCCTTAAGAAGTGCAAATGTGCAGTGTGTTTAAATTATTATGACCGAATATACATCCCTCTCCCTCAGTTTCTAAAGTGGTATAAAATTTTTGGATATTTTAAGATTTAACCCCCTTACCCATGGGAATCTTCATGACGAAAGAAGTTTATACTTGGGAACCAATGACAACATTATGAGGCTGGCCTCAATATATTCATATTGTGGTAAACAAATAACTACATGTACAATCATATCCAAAAACTACAGCAAATTGCAAGCATTTCAGAGATAAACTGCCTCGTGATGATTACAGCTGTTTCGAGAAAGGTTGTCGGAAAAAGTGCACGCGACAATCCCCAAAGGTATTGTGGGTGGTTTTGTCTGCCCTGTTCTCCAAAGAAATTTGAAAGAATGGCACGAGAGGCCACAGACATATGTTCGCGAGTACTAATTAAGCAATAGAAAACGTTTTCCCTGTTTGCATAGCCTGATATAAACACGAGAGGGGTTGGGAGAATTCGAGACGGTTATGCAAACCCGAGACGAAGTCGAGGGTTTGCATAACCGTCGAGAATTCTCCCAACGCCTCGAGTGTTTATATCAGGCTATGCAAACAGAGGAAAAAAGTTTTCTATTGCTTTTATAAAATAACTTTCCGGAGAAAAAAACGCAAAACTCTTTGTATGGCACTGATTAAAAGAGAAATTCTTACCAGTCGCAAAATCCTGTCCACGAAGTCTTGCACGCGTAATCAGTTCTTGTTTTGCAAAAAGATGCTTTGCAAAATACGGATTTTTCCCGCTTAAAACGGTCAGCTTAAGCGAAGAAAATTGTACACACCTTCTTTGTAACGATTTTCCAAGTTTCAGCCGACGAAGGACTCGAAAACTTTTTCAAATTTGTGCTTGCGTGATTTGCGCGCGAAAAACCAAACAACTTGACGCCACAACCATGTTTACATACTCTCATGCAAACACTGCTCTCGGCCAATCAGAGCGCGTGTACTATCTTAGTTATTTTATAAAGGAAAGTAACAAAAGTAGGTTCGACAGCTACATTCGTTAGGAACGGTGTATTGATCATATCCCATATTACCTTTCGGGGTTGTCACGTGCACTTTTTTTTGACAACCTTTCTCGAAGTAGCTGTATAAACTTACCTTTATTTTCTTTTAGTCCTGCACTTCTTCACTTTCTTTCTCGGTAGAAAGACACGCACCCTTTCAAACCTCGTGGCTTGCAAGCAAACTGTCTATTTTGAAATCGCGCGAGTGAGCCACGAATCTCGCGCGTGACTGCGTGAGCTTAGTGTCCGTTGAGCACTTAGAACTCTTCGTCATCACTTTGTACTCTTTTTTTAGTGGAATTGCGCATGTGTCGCGTAAGAGCGTTTTGTCACTGAATTGCCTCAAACAGTAACCAACGATCAAGCCGCCCCAGAATGATTTCCATGATAAAGAGATAATACGTTTTTAGACATTAAATTATTCATCATAGACTTATAACTTGACACCTTCAGGGGAATTGTTACAGCTGACCCGCCGTCATGAAATGTTTTTAAGCCTGCAATCGAGCGTAACTCAGTTGCACATTTTTAACTCCGAGTTTGTGTACAGATTTTTTCTTTGTAAATTTGAAATCCTCGAAATAGTACCTTTGATTACGATTACCTTAATACCAGACCTTCGCTATTTTGCATTTTGCTTTAGAAGTTTCTGTGCAACAGTTAGCCTCATAAGCAGGGGGTGTTTATGTTGCGTGCAAATCACCAGTCACGATTACACCTTCTATTGTAGTTTGTTGCTTTCACAGGCACACTTTGTAACTGATTTTTTTTCCAGTGAAAAAACCTGTTAAGAAACTACGTCTAGCCCCTTAAATTTCATGCTCTAAATAAATCTTTCTAGTATTGATAGCCAAATCTCTGACATATCCATCATAAAATCCTAAGACCATTCCTTTAATGACTAATTCAGTAAATGAATAGGAATCATTACAGGCATGAGCCAAGAGTAATTTTTAAGTCGAGTTTTGCCAAGCGATTTTTATTTAGTTTATGAGTGAATTTTCCTTTTCTTTGTATCTTTCGTTCATGCACGCCGTATTCACCTTCATGCAGTTTTGATTCTTTAACCCTTTAAGCCCCAATATCCACATACAAATTCTCCAAACTGATCTCTATACATTTCCTTTAAGAATTAGTTAAGAGAAATTGATAAAAGATCAAAGTATTTTCTCTGAGGTGATCATTTTATTAATTCTCATAACCTAATCTCATGACAATGTATGGACATCGTTAGGAGAAATTTGCTGTTGGTCACTATTGGGACTTGAAGGGTTAAAAGACAAGCTACCAAACATTCCTGAAATTCCTTTGGGTTGTAGAACGGGATTACCGAGTGAATTTAACTTAATATATATTCTCTATACTTTGTGGGTATTCGTCGTGTTTTATGAAAGGATTCTTTAGTTCTTAAGTTAACAACTCGTAGAAGTATTTTTACAGATGGCAGGTGTTTTCAATGAAAGTAGTCTAAAACGAAAAGTATGTAGATGACGCCTCTATTTGTCAAACTAGTGTATTTATATCCCGCAAAGTATTTCATTAAACTGGACTTAAGAGTTATCGATATGTTTGCTTGGTTTATTTTGTCGTAGTTCCTTAGTGAATAGAGAGGCTAGTTAAGGCGTTGATCACTTGAGCGGGACCAGCTTGTGGTCGGGCTTGTGTAATCTCAAAAGTCGATTTTTGTTGCGTTTAATCTACGTGCCGAGATCTCGAGGGAAAAAAACCTTAATCCCCTAAAGGTCCCCTAAGAATTTATCTGGACCTGAAGTTACTCAGTGAAAGATAAAGCTTTTCGGATGGTCAACGAAGACGTGACATACAGTGGGCACCACCTGATGTCTTCTTTGCCTCGACCGTGGGCTTCATTATTCCGTGCAGCTAATGCATTTGGGTCACGTGGTCCGAGCGAAGTTTCCCGCCCGTTCGCCTCGGTTACGTCACTGAACTGCATTGACGTACAGGGACTAGGCAAAGCCGCTGACTAGGAAAGGATCATTTACTAAAAGAGAGAGGGGAGAGAATAGAGCTCCAGATACGCGACAAATATTTTTGCACCTGCAGCAAGCCAGCTACAGGTTTTATGGTAGCCTGTGAACAGGCTAGTTTTATGGTCTTTAGTTTTGTATGGAGCTTTTTTCCATCAGTGTTTGACGCACGAATTTCCAGGCAATTTTATCCTTTAAAATTCGCAATGTTGATAGACAACAATTTTTCCTGGTGTGTGCACTTTTAGACCATAGAAATGTTCAAAACTTTGTGGTGAAACCACTCACCTGCGGCTCGTACTTCATCTTAAATTTTTGAGCATTTTTACGCTATTTCTATGGTTTCTAAGAGTATAAGAACGTGTAGAATTGTCGCCCAGTTGTTAAATTCAAGCAACGAACCATGAAGGACCTTTATCCTCTCCTAGGGCCTGTTTACATGGAGGTGGGGGACCCCAGGTACAGGTCAGGTAACCCGCTTAGGTGGGGTAAAATTGCAGGGCAAATTTCAAAACTTTTTCAAGAATTCAAGACTCTGTACGAATCTGAAATCTTAAAAGCATTTAAGCCTTGTGGACACTCTTACCAGTAGGAGACAGAGCGAGGAGTCATTCAGTTCTTAACAATCCACCGTACGGAAAAAGATGGCGGCCGGCTATACATTTTATATACCACAATTCCTTTCGAACACACCGCCAATTAAACATAAAGTCATATTTGTTTTGACGAAATTCGTCCCTGTGATAGCAACATTGCGTATCCTAGGTTTGAAGTTTATAAAACTTTTCTGCGCGTTTTTATGAGCAATTTTAGGGTTTTCATGCGCTAAGAATTATGGGTAAATGTACCAGTTTCCATAAGTTCTTACGTATGGTGGATTGGTGCCAACAGTTCCATGGTCCATATACTCCGATGACCATATAGCTCTTGTCCAATCAGCGAGCAAGAATGTTGATTGATAAAAAATATCTATGGGCGATGGAAAAAAAAACATTTTCAGTTGCATAGCATTCGTTATGGGTTAAAAAAATGGTAAAGGGGATTTTATTTAGTGTCTTGGGTTTCTTTCGGGAAGTATATATTTCACGTGGTATTGGAGTGGACAAGGATTCCCAGCTAATTTAACTTGTGATCAAGAGGTTGATATATAGCGCAGCAGGAGGTTGATGGGTATTTCCTAGAGTCACAAATTCGCTGCAAAACAGGTGATTCGTTGGTACTGGATTTGTTATTAAGGGTTTACGGCATGCTTGCATGCTTCAAGGTTTACTTCTCGATAACTTCTGTAAATTTCCAGGAAATCACTTTTATCTTTGTTTTTGACACAGCCGTTGGCTTGTTTTCTAGTATTTTCCAGCGAACTCATGGAGAAGATATCTTTTATTACGGATAAGGTTAGTTTATCATTGTGGTTTTGTCTCCTGATTTTCAGATGTTGTTTTCAGTTGTGACTTTTGCAGGTTTCTACATGTTATATTTTGAAAATGCCCCTTTGGATTTTCTGCAGTCACGTCTGTAATCGATTTACGGAAAAGCGGTTGATGCCTTGTGACTTCTATATTGCTCGCCTTGTTTCAGTATTGACTGAACAACCTAGACCACGAAATGAAATTTAATGAAAGAGAATTGTTTTGGCAAAACAAACAACTCGAAGGTTTTTATGCAAATAAGTCTTCCCTGGCCAATCAGAATCAGCCACATGCGCAAGCTTTAACCCGAGTCAAGCGGATGGATTTGCAGGTCATGTTGGATACCATAAAACCAAGGTGCAGTGACGATAGTGAGAGAGAGATTTGAATCAGTCAGATTAGCACTGACCTGCAGGGAAGAGACAAGCCTCGTCTTTTGTTGTTTAAGAAGTGGTAGTTCCCCCATAGAAGTTCTTCAAACAAGAGTAAGGTGCAATGAAGATAGACTGTACTATACTGTACCGTACTTTTGCTATGCCTTGCTATGCTATATATGTTATGCTAGGCTATACCATGCTAGCTGTGCTGTGCTATGATATACTGTGCTATGCCATAAGACATTCTATACTATGCTATAGGATAGATTCTGTGCTATAACATGCCATGCCATGCATGCTATGCTATGCTATACTTTCATTTCATTTCATTCATTCATTCATTCATTCATTTAACCATTCGTTCATTCGTGCTTGTGTTCATTCTTTCACTCCTTCAACAATAGCTACTAAGTGGAACTCTTCCTCATAAAATCGTTAAATCAACCAAATTTGTCTGGTCCAGACGTGAAAACACAATTTAATAGTTTTCATAGCCTGTTTTCTTGTTAACTGGGTTCTCTTACGTAACCAAAAGACTGTTTAATATGTAAATAAATCAAAAGGCGATATAACCATCTGTAGGCATGGACTGTTCACTGAACAATCAATGATGACAGCGAACATCGTTTTCATGTTTTAGCCGAAAAGGAGAGTCTGAATGAGGGTATCTCGATAACACTAACAGTTAACTTTTTGGCTTTGTAACCTGTAACAGTTAAATTTTAGGCATTTTAACAGCAACAGTTAAAAAATTCTTGAAACAGGAAATTGTTTCCAGAAAGAAGCAAAAATGGCCCCAAAAAGGCTTGCTTTCTAGTAGCTGGAAAGTTTGACATTTAACGTTCCCTGTGGGGCAGACGGATGGGCGCGCGGTCGGGCTATCGGGCGGACATACGGTCACTTGATTACTGAAATTTCTCGGATGGATAGATTACCACATTTTGTTAGGTTTGGGGCGAAGCGAAGCGCGCGTGTGGAGCTCGCTATTATGCAACTGATAATCCCAGAAAGGGTGAAGTGGATAAATAGCTTATTCTACGGCATAATGACATTAACCCACAGAAGGGTCCAACGAACTTATCAATGATCTTTCTATTTTTCTTTAGAAAAAAAAAAACTTTAATAACGCTGTCCAATGATAAAAACTTTGTAGCGTCACAAAGTCGTAAAACTGGCAATATCTTTCACTACTTGAACTGTCTGATTGCTTCCGCTTTCTGAATATCGTGAACAAACAATAACGGAAAAGGAAACAGCTTTATGATTATTTTGGCGCCGGCTTAAAAGAAAGCTGTTATTGTATACGTGGCATGTCTAAACGTTATAGTTCCGCTCCAGACACTCAGATTTTTAAAAAGAGACAGTAAGCGTGGCCTTGGATATCACAATCTGAATAAGGTTTTATTTTTTTTGTAGTTCAACCATGTTTATCTGATTTGATTCTAGAAAATTCTGTT